TGGTGGTGGTGGTGGTGGTGGTGGTGGTGATGATGATGATGATGATGATGATGATGATGATGATGATGATGATGATGATGATGATGATGATGATGATGATGATGATGAAGTGTCATCTGGGTGGAGCCAGCACATAGTTTGATGTCTTCTAATTGTTGCCTCTTGATTCATAGTTAATGTATTACATGAAGAACAGAATGCAATTTGACGTTCTTGGTGAGCATGTTAACATAAATGACAAAGGAGATGTATATACTCCGTATGACATTCTCAACTGGCAAAGGAACGAGAGTGATGAAATTGCCTTTGTGAAAGTTGGAACATTTGACATGCCTAATGATGATAACAGGGAATTTCACATCTATAATGAATCAATATTTTGGAACAATCCAGCAGCATCAGTAAGTTAAAAAAAATCAGTGTTTTTCCCTAGTTTAACATCCTGTGGTGTTTTTACATATACAATTATTTTCCTGTTGTTATCTGTATGGGCTGCTATATAGATAGTCTGCAAGGATCTGTTATCTGCCATGGGCTCATGTTATGCATGGGAAAGACATTCTTTAGTACTGTACAAATTTTGGTACACATTTATTGGAAGAAAAATTATATAGAGATACAAATCTGTTTCTCAGGAGCCCTTCTGAATGACACAGGTTTAAGGAAAGAAAGTCAGCAAGAGACATTCTTTGATGTAATGTGTGCTATATTAATGTGGTCAATAGGTGTCCATCATTTGCCAAATTCAAAGTGGTTACCCTAGATACATGTGAATTACCATATCTTGGAAAAGTTACTTTTCTGGACTATACTTTCAAGTGCAGCCATCTAATTGGGGGCTTGTAGGAGATATCGTTTTTAGAAATGTAACTTTACCAAGCTCTCTGAGCTACTGCTTAACCATAACAATTCATTCAAACAGATACAGTGTTTTAAGACAACAACAGAAAAATGAGATCCCAGACTGCCCCATAGAAGAGGACATTGTGTTTTTCCTACTACCACAATTCTGTACTGAGATTCTAGCAGATGCGTATAGAGGGGATTGAACTTCCAATAAACCATTTACTCTCCCATTCCCAACCTATCTACTTAGAAAAAAACCAGTTATAAATGAATGTATTAAAAATGAAATTTTGGGGGAATCGGAGGAGAAATTATGCCCCACCAATAGCTACACTCTTCCCCTTGAGCAGTAAAAACACTGCCTCCTGCATAGCTCAGTGGTTTAGGTCTCTAGTGGAGGTTGGGGGTTCAACTGTGCCTCCTTGACAGGGGCTGGGACTCACCAATCCATAGGGTCCCTTCTAGCTCTGCAGTTATAAGATGATGATGACGAGGATGATGATTAAAAAATACCAGGCATAATCCAGCAAAATTATAAAAATATTGACTAATGTTATATAAAAGATACAAATTGTAACCAAAATCCTAAGTATCTGTTAAATATTGGCGTAATATTATGCAGTTCCTAATATTGCCATTTTTGGTAGCTCTGATGATGTGATTTCTGAGATCTGCAACTGGTTATAGTACTGTGTGAAATTTCTTGATATTGTTCCCAAAGCCCTGATGACTATAGGGACTACTGAAGTGTGTTTCATCCATGAGATGTTCCTGAAACACCCTTTATAATAATAATGTATTATTATAAATGGTGTTTCAGAAACATCTCACTTATGGATGAAACATAATAATAATAATAATAAGAATAAGAATAAGAAGAAGAAGAAGAAAAAGTAGTAGTAGTAGTAGCAGCAGCAGCAGCAGCATCAGTAGCAGTAGCAGTAGTAGTATTCAAAAACACTAGCCACAGTCAAAATTCTAAAAACATTGCCTGGTATTATATAACAGATACAAGTTTTAGCCAAAAACCTAAGTAACGGTTAAATATCAGTGCAGTATGTATGCTGTTCTTAATATTGATATTGTTCTCAGAGCCCCAATGACTATGGGGACCACTGAAGAGTGTTTCTTCCAGAGGCGAGATATTTCAATTGCCAGGTCTCTGTACTTTGTTAGTTTTCCAATTCTTTATTTTCAACTCTGGCATCCCTTGGAATTGCAATGTCAGTGATCCAGACATTTCTGAATTCTATTACTTATACATCTGGTGTGTTATGTTCAAGGTGTCTATCCGTTTGGATTGGGAAATCCGATTGTGACTTCCTCATTTTATGACATCTTCTCCACATGAAGTTCCCTTGGATTTTTGGAGGCTGGCAAGTTATAATTTTTGCATAATGACCAGTGTACTAACTTTGCCACTCTATCATGTCTAACTTTGTAATCTGTTTGTGCAATCTTTGGATATTTACAGTTGAGGTGTGGCACAGTTTCATCTTTTTCTTGGCAGAGTTGACATTTCTGTTAGCACTGATTCCTTGGATCTTAGCTTTCAACACATTGGAGTGTTTGTTCTTGTATAGCAAAAATCAAGCCTCCAATTTCTTTCTTAAGGATCCCCAGTTTTAGCCATGCCCATGTTGAATTATGATCATGCTTTCCATCAATATTTCTCACGTGTTGTCCAAACATGGAGTTGCCAGCTGCTGTTGTGGAGAGCCTTACCTTTGTGAAATTGTTTGAGAATTCCTCCTTGCACTGCCCACAAAGTTTGGAATTAGCAAGGCTTTTTTGGTACCGCTTTATTAAAAGAGATATAAAATTGCTGAGGTAATGTCATTTACTTAGTTTTCCTGTAGTTTTTTAAAAAGCAAACAAGTTTATCACCTTGTTGAACATTTTAGCACCAAATGAACATTTCGACACAAACGTTTACAACACTTCATAGTGACGTTCACAAGAATGCTCATGTGCACATTGTTCTAGTTGGCTTGCAAAAATTCCACTGCACCTTGCATGCATCCTACCTCTGAATTATATCCAACCTTACTCAGCTCGTGGTGCTCTGTTACAATCTTCATGAGAGCAGACTAAGAACAGGGTGATCCAAATGGGTTGCAACTTCTGCAGCAGCACTTGCAAGCATGGCCAGTGGTGAGAAACATTTGGAGTTATTCAATCTTCATGAGAGTAGACTAAGAACAGGGTGATACAAATGGGTTGCAACTTCTGCAGCAGCAGAAGTGGTGAGAAACATTTGGCCAGTGGTGAGAAACATTTGGAGTTATAACCCAAGGATCTCTGGAAGACTCCAGTTAAAGCTTGGGTCATGGATGCAATCATCACAAGACAGAGCTCTCTGATGCAGACACGTTTAAGAATGTACTTATTACAAGGAAGAAACAGGCTTTTTCCCACCCATAGGAGAATGTAACATCTTTTCTGTACCTTTCAGCGACCACGCTCCGCATGTAATAACAACTGCCAACCTGGCTACCGGAAAGGAATCCTTCAAGGGAAACCTTCATGCTGTTATGACTGTATAAGATGTGCAGAAGGCCAGATCAGTAATATTACAGGTATGGATCACCTTTAGCATCATGCCCAACAAGGGTGTGTGCAGCAGAGGGGAGGTAGACATGTTTATGTCACTTTTTTAGACCCTAGTAGTTGAAGATTAAGAGTTTTATGTCTAAAACCTTTAGCGTGGTGCCCAACAAGGGTATGTGAGGCAGAGGGGAGGTAGACATGTTTATGTCAGTTTTTTAGACTCTAGGTAGTTGAAGATTAAGAGTTTTATGTCTAACCGTACTCCACTGCAATTATGGTTAAGGTTGCCAGGACTTATGACACTGACTAAAATTTCATGGAACTGCTGTTTTCTCTGGGTCACCATGCAGGTGGACAAATCTCAAGAGGAGTGGTGTGGGAGAAAGAAAAAGTGTGGTTCCCCCCCGTCCTCAAATATTGTTTTAAAGCCTGGGAACCAATTTCAGCACATTCGCAGCAGGCACCAGAACTCCATAGCCCAACCTCAGGTGCCTTTATGTATGCTTTGAGTGCTGTATGAGCACATCGAAATGCCAGAAACAAGGGGAAAAGTTCATGGTGATTTTTGAAATTGGGTCCATCGTGCTGTTTGGAGCAAGAAAAACTGTGATGTACCTATTGATTATTTCCTTTACAGATGCAAGAGAATGTTCACCATGCCCAGAAGATTACTGGTCCAATGAGCAGAGGAGTGAATGTGTGCTTAAGGAGGTGGAATTTTTGGCTTATGGAGATGCTTTAGGAATGACATTGATTGCTCTTTCCATTTTTGGAGCTTGTGTCGTCCTATCTGTTACTGGTGTCTACATCAAACATAGAAACACAGCTCTTGTGAAGGCAAACGACCGTGAACTGAGCTTCCTCATTCAATATTCTCTTGTTGTCACCTTGTTGACGTCCATTCTCTTTATTGGTAAGCCAGAAGACTGGTCATGCCAGTCCCGCCAGGTGACTCTTGCTTTGGGTTTCTCCCTTTGTTTGTCTTGTGTCTTAGGGAAGACTGTGATGCTCTTCTTGACACACTTGGCCAAAAATTCAAAGGTTGCTGAGAAAGTCCGGATGTGGTTCAAGCCAGTTTTCCAAAAAATTATTGTCCTCCTTTCCGTCCTGACGGAAGTGGGCATTTGCACTGCCTACCTCATCCGTAATCCTCCCCGTATGAATAAAAACACCCAGTTCACAACTCTGAAAATCATCTTTGAATGTGATGAGGGATCCATCTTGTACCTGTGTGTGATGTTTGGGTTTGATGTCTTTTTGGCCATCCTTTCCTTCCTCACTGCCTTTGTTTCTCGAAAGCTTCCCAATAACTTCAATGAAGCCAAGTTTGTCAGCTTTGGGATGTTGGTCTTCTTTATTGTCTGGATATCGTTTGTCCCTGCTTATTTAAGCACAAGAGGGAAGTTCAAAGTGGCTGTGGAGATATTTGCAATTTTGGCCTCCAGCTTTGGCTTGCTAGGGTGCATATTTGTCCCAAAATGTTACATTATTTTATTGAAACCTGCAAGAAATACAGAGGAAATTGTCGGCGGCAGAGCAGCTACAAACGACAAGAGTGCACCACCAACCTCAGCTTCTTGCACCAGTGAAGTTAACAACACTACAGTGTCCACGGTTCTTGAAGATTAGAAGTGTTTAACTGTTGCTTGTGAAAATTTTATTAGTTTTAATGCACTTTTTGCCTCCCCTATTCCCAGGGAAGGCAGATGCCTGGTTTCTGTACAAGTCACACTTCCTGCTTCTTATGGAAAAACATACCCAATTGGCTTGCTGGCAAAATAATATGAAACACTTTTTGAAGGGCTTTGTATTTTCATTATTCTAAACAATGGCAGTGGATCTGACTCTATGCAAGCAGAAAGGAAATTCAACTTGCATAAGAGAGAGGAGTCCCTGATTCCTATCCTTTCTCAGCTGCAGCCACTTGTAAAAGAGGTGCACTGTTCTGGGCATTTCCTGTCCCTCAGAGTGTTTATAACAGTGGCAGTAAGAAAGAGGACAGGCAATTCCCACTCCATTACTCCATTAATGCTTTGTATGATACAGTCCTGTAATTCCAACTATAATGCTAGCTGAGAGTTTAAGAGGTTGACAAGATTTGTAGGCCCAAGGACCAGCCCTACCAAAAACCAATGGGAAATATTGCCCTAACCAAAATCTGAAAGTGTAGTGGTAGCTGAAAAAGCAATATTTTTTGCACTTTTATTTTTAAACAAGATGCATAAGGAACATTCATCCTGTTTTAAAGAATATTCATGCTTCTTGGAGGAACAAACTTGCTTTTAAAACAAGGTGTGTGCTGCTCTTGGGCCGTATTTCAAGGTAAAAAGGGGATGGGGAGAAGTGGCCTTTTTGCTGTTGTAGGTCCATCAACAAGAGCAATGTGGTCACTGAGGGCTGCATGTAGTCTATGGGAAACATGGTGCCCATTCTGATTTAATTTCTTGTTAACAATAATCATCCTAACATATTATCATCTGGCTGCATGGCAATGCCTGTAATATTTTCCAATAAACTGAATTATTTACAACTGTGTCTCTTTTTTTTTTTGTCAATAGGTCATTTTTAATAAGAACATACTTTTCTTTTCTACAGACATAGGATAAGTTCCTTTTTCCAACAACAGCACCCACAATCCCCCTGCTACCATGGCCACTGTTTATACTGGCTAGAATATTCTGGGAGCTGTGGTCCAAAAGAAGTAACATTGCCTATTTCTCGTGCTGTATTAACATATCTGTGTATAAACTTTGAATTCTTCTGAGGTTCTTGCTCACAACACGTCATGTACAAACTGCTGTGTTAAGTGTTTTTATAATATTTTGTTCAGCCAGAACCTAACTGCAACTTATTAGATCTAGTCTTCCCTCTGGAGTAACAGATAACAATTATCTGCTATGTAATAGCCCTTCAAATTACCGTATTTTTCGCTCCATAAGACGCACCTGGCCATAAGACGCACCTAATTTTTAAATACCATAAATTAAATAAAAATAAAAATAACTAAACAGAGCAAGTCCCACGCTGGGACTGCAAAAAAAGGACCAAAAAATAAAGCAACATAGAAACATACCCCCCAGCCCAAACCTACCCTCCAAAACTCACATTTTTTAAAAAGTAAAAAGCAGCACCTTACAAGTCCAAAGCCTCCCGGAGGTCCTCAGAAGCCAGTGATGGTGGCCTGGGGGGACCCCCATGGGCCTTCTGAGGCCTCCTGAGGCCACAGAAGCCAGCAATGGTGGTGTGTGGGGGGCCCTCGTGGGGCCTTCTGAGGCCTCCGAAGCCAGCGATGGTGGTGTGGGGGGGGACAGACAGTATTCGCTCCATAAGACACACACACTTCCCCCATGTTTTTTTTTAGGGGGGGGGGAAAGTATTCGCTCCATAAGACGCACACACTTCCCCCATGTTTTTTTGGTGAAAAAAGTGCATCTAATGGTGCAAAAATATGGTATTTGAAAAGTGCTAACATTAAGTAAAAGTTGGTGCCCGTTGTAGCTGTGGGGCGTAAGTCATGGAAACGAATGGTGAATAAAGTCAAGGACAAATGTGAGTATTCATACACAGAGAGATAGACAAAGAAGCAGGCATTTATTCAAGACACTCCCTCATCCATCCATCCATACACTCCACAAATTAGCTGAAAAGAAGAAAATTACACATCGATTAGAACTGTTTCTATTTGTTGTTGCTTCACTTTGTGTCTAGTTTCAAAGCTAGGCTGTTGACTTACTGAAGCACATTCATCCTCTTGTTTTCATTCTCCCTTCCAGGGCTGGTCCTACCATTAGGCAGAGTGAGGCAGCAACCTCAGACTGAAGATTTTTAATAATATAAAAATACACCAAAGCTTATTGTTACTTGATTTATTCTCATTACATTTTTATCGCCAGGGAAGGGGAGAGGTTCTTCTGAGATTTTCTGCACTCATGAACTACCACAATATAGCTGGCTTTAGGTACTATGTACATGACGATGTACGGTACCATTTGCTACTCCACCTCAGGCAACAAGACATATTGTACTGGCTCTGAACCCCTCCGACCCATGACTGAGTGTGAGTTTGATTACGGATCCCTGAGCCTCTGCCTTTGTTACAGAAGTAGGCAGGGACATTTACAGAGATATAACTAAGAGCAAACCTTTTTGCACTACGTTCGTTGATGAACATTTCTTATCTAGAGACCTTTCCAGGAAAAGCAGAAATAGGGCAGTGGGTTGCCATAACACCATTGCTTCTCTTGAAGAAATGGAACATTCCATCATATTCAGAAATGTTCTTTCCATTGATATGGAGCTAATATTCCTCTCCCACTTCAGTGTATTTCTGCTTGTCACAGGGAAGGGAGACAGAGTTTTCAGATACCTAATGCCTCTCATTGTATGGTTCCTCACCCATCTGTGAGATAGGATGGAGGGGGAAGAAAAGGTGGCAAACAAAACATCCATTGGCTTCATTATTCATCATCCCCCAAATCATGCTCTGTCAGTATGTTGGACTGTACCTTCCATCATTCCAGTATACTAGGTTGTGAAGTTAATCTGTATGTGGAGGTTTTCTAGGAGCTAGAGCTGTACTTTTGACCGTGTTTTGAACAGCACTCTGTTTGGTCTAAACTCATGGAAGTTGTTCTTGAAGAGGAAAAACAGCAGGATTCGCTGCTTTTAGATTTGGTCATCTCAAGCGTCAGGAGTCAGTGAAATAGAGCAGGAGTGGAAGGAACCAGGGCTGGACCAAAAAAAAATTGCTGTGTGAGAATGGAGAAAGGAAACCACCACACAAGTCGAGATGCACAGTACCCAAGTTGTAAGAAGTTATTTTGGCACCTGAGGCAGAAAATCCTGCAAGAACCATAACCACGAGCCTTCCTGCCTGTCTGAAAACCAACCTCTCTTCTTCTCATAGATAAATGAAATGTGATTGGAGCTTGGATACATTATTTTTCTGGATTGTGAAAAATAAGGTTGGGGGTCGTAGTCCAAAAAGTCAGAAGCTGTGGCCAAGGTTACACTAGGGAAATATTCCCCTGTTCTAACAATACTTTCCATACCTTTGTTGTTCTGAATCATGGTTATGTGCTATATATACCTGAACAAATGGCCTAATATGTTTTAATGGCACTGATTAATTTTCTCTTATTTGAATCATCGTGACTGGCCACACCATAGTTCCCATTTATTTTCTCATTTTGGGGAGCACTGCAGAAAAATTAATGATATGTTGGTACGTCAGGTAGGGGTTCCTGTTCAGTAAAATTTCCTCTGTTCTGCTGGTACCCCTGGAAGAACAGCATTGCACTCAATGGACCCCCCCCCCTTCCTGGGCTGTGTTGCTTGCCATACAGTAGGTAGAGTGATGCAGCACCTACCAATGCCCTGGCATTACTGGCTGTTGATTTAAGTTTACCTAAATATTGAAATACTGACTTTGAATTAAAAAAAACTATTATAGCAGGGCAGGCACATGGCAGTAATGGTGGCCGCCTTCACCAGTGACTTGGCTTCAGAAAAGAATCAATAAGGTCATGCACACATCATACTGATGAGGAATATGTTGAAACACCACCAGAACAAAATAACAGAAGTCTCCTGCCAAGGGGGAAATAAGCAACAGTTACATTGCTGGCAAGGTAAATGATTCAATAATGGCTATGCATTATGTGACCGGAAATATCTGCAACAATCTAACAGGGTTATAACTAGGGAACTTTTGTCTGGTGTGATCAAACCCTATGTGTGGGACCACCTGCAGCATGGTGACAAGAGTTCTTTTTAGACTTTACTTATTGTCTTTCCCCCTCCTCATCAACAAGATACAATGAAAAGTGTCCCTGGGCTAACTACACAACTGAACCTCCCATCTCTGACTGTTTTGTTGCCCAGGGGTAAACATTCCTAGAGCAGGCACACATGCAGAGGGGGTTAAATTTACACCCATTGGCTCTAACTCCAGCCTTTACACCTCAACATTATGTTGCACAACCTTCTTTACATACACACTGCCCATGTTCAGGTTTTATTGGTGGTATTTGTGTCAGCAATCATGAATGACGTCTATGCATAATAATTATTCGCACAAGGTCCCATCAAGTTGTCAAGGTGGGGGCTGAGGCCAAAAGGTACCATCCTGATCTGATCTTGGATTGCACCTGCACTACAAACATTCACACAGAGCAACAGTTTGTCAGGACAACTTTTTATTATCATGTACAAAGAAACATGACATATAGACAGCACTGAGCTCCTCCTATGGACACTCCAATCATATTCAATGGCTATAATCTTATTGTTGGTCTCAGTTTAGAGTTAAAAAAGGTTCCTCTTGACAATTTTGTCCAGTCGTGTCCGACTCTAGGCAGCGGTGCTCATCTCCATTTCCAACCCGCAAACAACCGTCCATGGTCACGTGGCCAGCGTGACTAGACATGAAATGCCATTTACCTTCCCACTGAGGTGGTACCTATTTATCTACTCGCATTTTTGCATGCTTTCGAACCACTAGGTTGCCGGGAGCTGGAACAAGGGACGGGGGCTCAATCCATCGCGTGGATTCGAGCTTACGACTGCAGGTCTTCTGACCTTGCAGCACAGAAGCTTCACTGTTTTAACCCACAGCTCCACCACGTCCAGATCTAGTGAATTGAAGCAACTTGAAGAGGTATTGACTGACCACAACCCAGGCCAATGTTGTTTTGTTGGCTCTCCCCCCCCATGGCAGTGTTTCTCAGGTTTTTTTAAGATAGGATACTCTAGATAAGTGGTTTTTAATCTTGAGTCCCCAGAAGCTTTCACCACT